GGGGTGCTAAGTATGGCTTGGATGTTCTCATGGCTTTGTCTTATGGCACCCGTAACTCACTCCTATCTTGGTCACAGCAGACGTGGTCAAGGGCACAACCTGTCCCCGGCCAAAGCCACCGACAGAGGAATGCATCCCATTTCACCACCGGCTGAACCCACCTCTCCGAACCCAGGACAGACACAACGGGGGAGGGGGGGAAGGCAACTGATAAAATGCAAGGTTGCTTCCCACATGACATTTTATGATGCAGACACTGAAAAAAGTAGCATTTAGGTAAACATTTTTTTTAAAAAAAAACCCTCCTAAATATAGGTATCTCGTCACATGTTAGGAACACTGCTAGTATCCAGAAGCCAAGACGGATGATGGATGAAGCTCCTTGTTAAAGGAATGCTTCCTGGCAAACTCCAGTCTGCCGCCACGTTAACGTGTGCAGTAGCGAGAGGAAGCTATGCGAGGCAGAATGCGGTATAACACACAGCCGCCGCCTGCTCCCCCCACCGCCCACAGCCAAAGGAGTGCAAGCTCACACTCTGGTGCGTCGTGACACCCCCAGATCCGTGCACCGGACATTCCCGCCCCGTGCCACCTTCCCTGCCCGGAAGCCACCCTTTCCAGTTCACCTATCCAACCGGCGGACGCTTTTCCTTTCCTCTTGAAAAGTAACACAACGACATCTGCTTTAAAAAAAGGGGACAGGGAGCTTGGCCTCAAAATACTTTCCCACCTCACTCCCCTGGGTAAGCGAAACAAAAGAAGGACGTCCCTCTGATTGTGATCTAATGCAATGATTGTTGTTGTTGTTTTGACAACATCTGCTTAGGTTTTTTTAAAACAGTGCTTTTTTTTTTTTCAAAGGGTGCAAACCACCCATTCCTGTCCAGGCCTCACAGGAGGGTGTCAGCGTCCGTGAGAAAATTCAAGGGCCCCCGTGGCTTGCCATCGGACACGCCTGCTCCCCCGCGGGCCCTGATGTCACACTTCCTAGAGAGTGACGTGGCCGGGCTGAGGGAAGGGGCACACCAAATGCGCCGTATTAAAGAGACGTGCCGCACACACACACAGCCCGCCACATCCCTCTCTGGGACAAAACGTTCATCGTTCTTTGGTCCCTGGGCCCAGGCATGAAACAAAGTCTATATGATATATGAAGTTTCAACAGATTAATTTCTTTCTTCTTTTTTTTGCCCTTATTTACAAATAGAAAAGGAGGCTCTGTGTGTGTGTGTGTGTGTGTGTGTTTAAAAAAAGGAAATAAGTGTTTTAAAAAAGAAGAAAACATGCTCACAAAAACACGGAACATTAGAAAACCTGGCAACGTAGACTATACAGAGCTCAGCGTCTTGGCAGGCGGCTCTTGGGATGGTCTGCTGAAGCACTGGGCGTTGCGTTTCCGGGGCCCACGTGTCCCAGAGGAGGGCCAAAAAACCCCGGAGGCCTGGCCCCTCGCGCATGACCGACAGCACCATGGAGCTCTCTCCAGCCTTCCAAGCCAGAAAGCTTGCATGCCTGGGTGTGCGCTCAGTCCAAAAACCTCTGGCACGCTTTCTTCCACCGGCAGGCTGTGCACCATTGGTCTCGGTGCTCGATGCCATAAACCTTGCGGCATTTCTTGGCTTCGCCGCGGACTTTCCTGCAGAGAAAGACAGAAAGCCTGTGAACAGAGAACGCTGACTAGGTGGTGGTGCAAAGGAACGAGTATCTGTAGTTCTCCAGATACTACGGGGTTTTGGACAGCCCTGTCTTAAGAGTCTCCTCTCGCCTGGGGATGCTCAGGTTGAACCCAAGGCCCCTACGCCTACCTGCAAATCAGCTCGGCCGCCGGTAAGACGGCATCCAGAGGACAGTATCTATAGGTATCGATAGAAGGCATCTACAGGGAATGGTCAAGTTAAATTAGCTAGATGCCACTTTAACTGCTATGCCTCCACCCTTCATTCGTCCTCTGCTGTAAACCCGGGAGTGCCGGGCCGCTCTCCGACAGAGAACTTGGGAGTCCCCGGCCAAGACACAAATCGCAGACCAACAATAGCTACACAGATGTATTCTCGAAAGCTTTCATGGCTGGGATCTGATGGGCGTTTTGGGTTTTTCGAGCTGTTTTGAAGATTGTTCTTCCTAACGTTTTGACAGATAATCTATCCCCCTTACCACAACAATACGCTTAACAACAAAAACACGCTGATCACCATAATCACCCAATCTCCTGAAAAGGACAAAAGCTGATTCCACAGCTATAAATACTCAACTATCCAAACAAACCGCACCAGAGCACAGAGTTCTGACTCCTGTCCTCTGAAGATGCCGGCCACAGAGACTGGTGAAACGTTAGGAAGAACAACCTTCAGAACACGGTGAAACAGCCCGAAAAACCCACAATAACCAATAGCTACAGAGCTATTCAATTTACCTAGACACATGCTAGACGCACGCCCTGATGGCCTGAGTGTGGTTCTTCCCTTATCCTCGACACCAGCATTAGGCCTTTCTGCTCCGCCTCAGGAAACTGGCAAATCTGGAAACTATCTCTTAGGACCACTGAGATCACCCGGCCCCACCCCACAGCTTCCAGTGGACCCCTCACCCTTTCGTTGTATGGAGGATAACCCAGGTCCAGAACATTCCCCACGGCCTTATCTACAGTCGCAGTGTGGACTGGCTGACTCACAAATCCCAAAACCTCAGACCAAGCCCTCGCCTTGACAATCCTTTTAAGAGATGCTGAGAACCAGCTAACCCAAAGACACACACCCCCCCGGATAAAAAGCAAAAAAGCCTTTTAAGAGATGCTGAGAACCAGCTAACCCAAAGACACGCAACCCCCCCCGGATAAAAAGCCGATCGGTCAGGAACGCTCCTGGTTAATGAACCCTCCCTTTCCCCAAGCCCAACCTTTCCTCGCTCGGTGGCAGAGCTTGGAAACGTTGGCTCTAACAGCTGGAAAATTCCTGGAGTTATGTTCCAAAAAAAAAGAGAGGAACTTTTCATGCTGAGAACCAGCTAACCCAAAGACACGCAACCCCCCCCGGATAAAAAGCCGATCGGTCAGGAACGCTCCTGGTTAATGAACCCTCCCTTTCCCCAAGCCCAACCTTTCCTCGCTCGGTGGCAGAGCTTGGAAACGTTGGCTCTAACAGCTGGAAAATTCCTGGAGTTATGTTCCAAAAAAAAAGAGAGGAACTTTTCTAAACTTTGCCTGGGTATTCCTGATTCTGACTGGAAACAGTTCTTTGGGCCAAAGGGAAGATTCTCCCACTCCTTGCTTCTCCCTGGCAATGCCAGGATCAGACCAGGAATAGCCTGTCTGGAAAGGATCCCGCCCTGCCCAGAGAATCATGGCCACCCCATTCCCAGCAAGGTCTCCAAACAGGGCCCAATAGGGCTTAGAAGGATCCCAATATATGGCAGTGCAGTCCAAAGCATGGCCCAAAAAATTGGTAAAGCAAAAAAGTGTGCTGCTTACATACCACCCCATGGCACTTAAAGCAATCTCTGGGCTGTTTACAATTTAAGCATGCAGGCTACACGATGCCTCCCACCCCACTCCAAACGAGCTGGGTACTCAATTTTACAAACTTCAGAAGGATAGAACGCTGAGTTTTGCCTGGGTATTCCTGATTCTGACTGGAAACAGTTCTTTGGGCCAAAGGGAAGATTCTCCCACTCCTTGCTTCTCCCTGGCAATGCCAGGATCAGACCAGGAATAGCCTGTCTGGAAAGGATCCCGCCCTGCCCAGAGAATCATGGCCACCCCATTCCCAGCAAGGTCTCCAAACAGGGCCCAATAGGGCTTAGAAGGATCCCAATATATGGCAGTGCAGTCCAAAGCATGGCCCAAAAAATTGGTAAAGCAAAAAAGTGTGCTGCTTACATACCACCCCATGGCACTTAGAGCAATCTCTGGGTGGTTTACAATTTAATCATGCAGGCTACACGATGCCCTCCCCACCCCACTCCAAACGAGCTGGGTACTCAATTTTACAAACTTCAGAAGGATAGAACGCTGAGTGAACCTCAAGCCGTCTACCTGGGATTGAACCCGGGTCCTGAGCAGAGGTTTGACTGCAGTGCTGCAGTTTAACCGCTGCGCCACGAGGCTGTTTCAAGAAGAGCCACCACCCTCTGCCACCCTGAGCTTTTCCCACCGCCAGGCGTAGAAGAGGCTGAGCCTGTTCCGGCAGCCGCTCCTTCTTACCTTGTGCCACTGCTGGGTGCCTTCGGGGGAGAGGCGACGATCAGGTGGGATTTCAGCACCGCCGGCGGCGGGGGAGGGGGCAGCGCCTGCTGCTGCTGCGGCTGCTGTTCGCTGAAACTCAAGGACCGGCTTCGAACCTGCAAGGCAGAGAACATCTGGGTTGGGTCGGCCTTGTTTTGAGCGCGGGGGGGGGGTGTTTCATTTCCTCCGGATTCCATCCAAGGAGAAAGAGAGACGCCTTCTCTACTCAGGACGAAGGTTGTGAAAACAAAGGACAAAATCATCAAGAAGGCAAAGAAGCGCCCAGCAGACCATTCCCGGTGGCGACAGCGTCGTTTGGGTTTTCATCACTACAGCTCATAAGAAACGGTCCTGCAGGTAAGGCTGGATAGCATCGTCACTTAGGCGCCTGCCTGCAGAGCCAGAGGTTGGAAGTTCGATTCCCCCCCCTCCGAGCTTCCTGCAAGTAGAGCCAGCCTGCATGGCCTTGGGCAAGCTGCACAGTGGCCCCAGGGCACCCCAGGAGTAGGGCATGGTCAACCATGTCTGAGTACTCTGCGCCGAGAAAAAGAGGGGCCGTAAGTCAGAATTTCCTTGCTGACATGCCGTTTTTAGTCTTTTACTACATAGCTCTCCTGCAATCCTCGTGTCCTTTCCTAACATGTGGCCTCTGACCAGGACTAACCACCACAGATTATCCATCTTTGACCTGCTAAGGCTTGAAGGTAGTGACTCTTGACACTCTGGCCAGGATCCAACTGAAGAATAAGCACATGCATATTCTTTTTTTAAAGGGTGCACAGTTTTTACAGTTTTTCTCCCCACAGAGGGACCCAAAGCAGCTTACACCAAACTTTGAACAAGCATTAAAACCATTCGAAGGAGAATAAATTAAAATACTACAGAAAGCAAACAGATTAGTATTTTAAAATACTAAACAAAATCTGTATTGCGGAGGAGGAGGATAATGCAATGTCAGTTCCGAGTTATGAAGGCTGGATAGTATCATCACTTAGGCGCCTGCCTGCAGAGCCAGAGGTTGGGAGTTCGATTCCCCCCCCCCTCCGAGCTTCCTGCAAGTAGAGCCAGCCTGCGTGGCCTTGGGCAAGCTGCACAGTGGCCCCAGGGCACCCCAGGAGTAGGGCATGGTCAACCATGTCTGAGTACTCTGCGCCGAGAAAAAGAGGGGCCGTAAGTCAGAATTTCCTTGCTGACATGCCGTTTTTAGTCTTTTACTACATAGCTCTCCTGCAATCCTCGTGTCCTTTCCTAACATGTGGCCTCTGACCAGGACTAACCACCACAGATTATCCATCTTTGACCTGCTAAGGCTTGAAGGTAGTGACTCTTGACACTCTGGCCAGGATCCAACTGAAGAATAAGCACATGCATATTCTTTTTTTAAAGGGTGCACAGTTTTTACAGTTTTTCTCCCCACAGAGGGACCCAAAGCAGCTTACACCAAACTTTGAACAAGCATTAAAACCATTCGAAGGAGAATAAATTAAAATACTACAGAAAGCAAACAGATTAGTATTTTAAAATACTAAATAAAATCTGTATTGCGGAGGAGGAGGATAATGCAATGTCAGTTCCGAGTTATGAAAACACTTTTCAGGGTTTTCCAGGTACAGAACACTCAGAAATGGTTTTCTATCTCTGGATAGCTTGCCGGCTCAGGGGCTGAGGTCTCCGGCTGCAGAGCTAGACGCTCGGGAGTTCAGTTCCCCCATGGGGCCGGTCTCCTTGAACGGGGCTGGACTCTGCACTTCAACGGTTATTACTATTCCCTTCTGCTGGGGGTGCCCTGGGACTGTGCAGCTTGCACATCATCATCATCATCATCATCATCATCATCATCATCATCATCATTATTATTATAACCTCTAAAGCAATTTTTAAAACACATCTATTGTACACATCCAGCCTGCAGTCACCGAAGCAACCAACATGACTTTGACACAACTCCGGGAGGCCATGGAAGACAGGAGGGCCTGCCGTGCTCTGGTCTATGAGGTCACGAAGAGTCGGACACAATTGTTAACGATTAAACAACAACAATTGTGTAGAACAAATGGATTCCAGCCTCTGTGTTTCTCTCAAGTTGCCCCATTCCCATGCCCACCAACTAACTTAAATATTAAACATAAAAAACAGAAGGGCTGTAAACATACACTTTTTTTCTCAGAGTGTAAAAAAAGGGCTTTTTGATTCTACCTCTGTGGGACTCAGAGGCGTGGACGCACGAATAATGAAACGTAAAACACAAAACGCAGTATTGTAGGAGGGGGGAAATCTGCATTTTTAAGTAGCTGCTGCTCTCTCTCTCTCTCTCCCAATCCCGCTCAAAACCTGTCACTCGCCCCCCATGCCAACGAGGCGTTTCTGAACGGCACCCCAACGCACCCACCCCCACACTAACTTCAGAGTCCCTCCCAGGGTTTGCAATCAAGAACAGCAGACTCACCGGCGAAAGGGTGGGGATGGTGGAGGTGGCTGCTGCCCAGCTGATGCTGGTGAATATGTGTGGAGATACTGGGATCTGGATGGATGGCAGAGCCTGAGAACAGAAAAAAAAAGAACATCTTAAGCAAGTCCGGACCCTTCCCCTACGGACTGCCTATTTTCCATAACGGACCTACAATAATAGCAACAAACCAAAACAAGTACAGTGGTGCCTTGCTTTACGATCACTCCGTTTAACGACGAACCTCATTACGACGGTTGGGAACCGATTCTTTGCAAAACAATGATTTTCGGACAGCTGATCGGTGGTTTCAAAATGGCCACCAGGTAAACAAAATGGCCCCCCGCTGTTTTCTGGGACGGATTCCTCGCTGCACAGGCAGTGAAAATGGCCGCTGGACAGTGAGTTTCCAGCCCATCGGAACGTATTAAACGGGTTTTAATGCATTTCTATGGGCTTTTTTATTTCGCTTTACGACGTTTTCGTTCTACAGCGATTTCGCTGGAACAAATTAACGTCATAATGCGAGGCACCACTGTAACTCTCTTGGGAATTGCAGATCTGGAAGGGAGCCTCTGGATCATCAAGTCCAGGGAAGTGGGGGAATTGCCTAAACCACTGCACTATCCAGCAGTTCATCTGCCAGGTTTTTCACACTTTCGTCATTTTATTTCTGCTGGGAACAAATTCTAATTCACACAAACCAAAAAATGTGAGATTTGAAAATCAATCGGGGGAGAAGCGCACACACTGGTGGTAATCCTTGCTAGCCGACACGGAGGAAGCAGCGACCGTATTGAGCCTCGTAGCTAAACGTCAAACCTTGTAGATAACTCGTCATCAGAAGAGGAAATTCCTTAAATGCTGGATATGTCTGATTCACCTGACAGTTTTCAAGCCTCCTGTGCTTTGCAAATCTGAGCTAGCAGTGTTTCTTCATGGGTGGGCATCAGGATATAAGCCCAGGTTCCACATGCAAATATACTGTAGTTGCTCAGCCACAGAGGACCTCCTGGAATCACATCGGAATGACACTGGCTTTTGGTTTGTACAAATGGATTGTCTGGACAGCTAGCTCAGATTTGCAAAGCACAGGAGGCATGAAAGTCAGGTGAATCAGACATATCCAGCATTTAAGGAATTTCCTCTTCTGAGGACAGGTTATCTACAAGGTTTGACGTTTAGCTATGAGGCTCAGGACGGTCGCTGCTTCCTCAGTGTTGGCTAGCAAGGATTACCACCAGTTGTCATCCCCCCAAAAATGCAAGCTGTCCAAGATCCATGTTTTCTACCCAAGCTAAGGAATGATTCCAAAACACCAAGGAAGAAACCATCATTTCCAAAGGCCCGAGAGACACTTGCCAGCCCCTACCTGGTAAGCATGATCTGCCTGAATGTGCCAGAAAGAACTGGGGGCAGACTGGCTGAGGGCGTTGCTGGTCAGGCAGGGCTCCAAGGGGGCAGCAGGATCCAGGAGGAGGGCCTCTGGCTGGCCTGGGGCCGGCTGGATGACCACTGGAGAGGAGCCAGCGGTTGGGCTGGGTGCGCTCACTGCAGGCTCTGGGGGCACCTCCTCCTTGACTTGCACCTCCGTGTAATAGAAGTCCTCTTCCCTCTTCCGCTGATCCGAGTTCGCGCCATCCCTGCAGTGATGGAAGAAGCGAGAGGGTGAGGAATAAACTGATCAAGGGCTCCTAACCATTTCATCTCTGGAATATTATTTTTACCTACTCACTCACTCACTTGCTTGCTTAAAGGTAAGGCTTCCCCTTGACAATTTCGTCCAGTTGTGTCTGACTGTAGGGGGCAGTGCTCATCTCCGCTTCCAACCCATGCATGATTTCGACCGGCTAGCTTGGCAGGAACTGGGACAAGCGACAGGAGCTCACTCCATTGCATGGATTCGATCTGACAACTGCAGGTCTTCTGACCCTGCACCACAGAGGCTTCTGCGGTTTAACCTGCAATGCCACCATGTCCCTTGCTTGCTTACTTACTCACTAACGTATTTACTTACTTCCTCACTCACTCGCTTGGTTACTTGTTCAACATACTTATTTACTTATTTACTCACTTATTTATTTACTTTACTTACTTACTCGCTTGCTTATTCACTCGCTTGCTTATTTACTCGCTTACTTGCTCACTTACTTAATTACTCACTTATTTATTCGTTTGCTTATTCCCTCGCTTGCCTGCTTGCTTGCTTACTCACTCACTTGCTTACTTACTAACTCACTTATACAGAGGCTTCTGCGCTTACTCACTTATTGACTTACTCACTTATTTATTTAAAATGTTTTTACCCTGCCTTTCTCCTTTAAAAAAAGGACCCTTACATCATTAAAAACACAACATTAAAAGCTGAAAACAGCTTGATGGAGATCTCGACCGACCTACCCCAGGTGTTGAGTCTTCACATGCCGCTTGATCCCGACGATGGAGCGAAGGACTTTGCCACAGCTGGGCCACAAACATTTGTACATCACCTTCACCGAATTCTATGGGGGGAGGGGAGAAGAAACATCAGATCTCGCTCAGTCCGTGGGCAAAGACAAGCTCTGGGAAGATTCCTTGTCTGGGGATCCTAAAGGGAGCCTTGTGTGGTTTCTCCTCAGCCTGACCTCTTCCATTCCTTTTTAGAACAGGAGTGATCAAAACGGAACCAGCAGAACCCTTTTATAGAACCACGTGGGCAGAGTTTCAGCTGGTGGGATTTACCGCACATTTCACTTAGAACCCCCACAAGGCTCCTTCCCACAACCTAGTGGGAAAGAGTACGTCCAGAAAACATAACATTCCTAAGAACTGGGCAACAGGACGCCTTAGGATCAGTGGTTCTCAAACACATGTTCCCGGACTACAACGCCCAGAAATCCTGGCCAGCAAAGCTCGGGGTGGAGGCTTCTGGGAGTTGTAGTCCAAGAACCTCTGTGGACCCCAGGTTGGGAACTACTGCCTTAAGAGCACGGGCCTCCTCCAGGGATCTCGGATCAGGGCCCAAACCAAGTTCACCAGTCCCTTTCACACAAACATCAACTCCTGCCATTTTCTGTTTGTTTGTTCGTTTGTAACCAACTTATTTCTGCTGGATGGCAAAAGGCTTCATTGTTTAAATTGCGGTTATAAATCAGAAACCTTTTCCCAACCAATCTCCCACTCAGTCCTAGGTTATCTTTTGCCCATCTTTCTTAAAATACATTTGTGAAGATGCTGATAAAGATGAGATCCAGTGGATTTCTCCAGATTTTTTTTGGGGGGGGGATGAGAAAAAGCGCTCAGAGTGAACCTCACCCTTTGACCTAAGGAATTAGGATGTGGATACAGTGGTGCCTCGCTTTACGATTGCCCTGTATTATGACGAATCCACATTACAACGATCTTTTTGCAATCGCAATTGCAATTGCAAAACGATGGTCTAAATGGGGGAATTTCGCTTTGCGATGATCAGTTCCCTGCTTTGGGAACCAATTCTTCGCAAAACGACGTTTTTCGAACAGCTGATCGGCAGTTTCAAAATGGCCGCCAGGTGATTAAAATGGCTCCCCGCTGTGTTTAGGGATGGATTCCTCACTATACAGGCAGCGAAAATGGCCGGCATATGGAAGATCTTCGTTGGACGGTAAGTTTTAAGCCCATTGGAACGCACTGAACAGTTTTCAATCTGTTTCAATGGGCTTTTTATTTTTGCTTTACGATGTTTTGCTTAACAGCGATTTTCCTGGAATGGATTTTCACCATTAAGCAAGGCACCACTGTATTGGAGAAATAAGAGCACAGAATAGAGCCTTCAAGAAGCATAAAAATGACACCCTGCTCCAGAGGAGCCTCGTGGTGCAAGTGGTTTAAACTGCAGTACTGCAGTGAAAACTCTGCTCACCACCCAGGTTCCATCCCGGCCCACAGAGTGCTCTTAAGTGCGATAAGCAGCCAGCTTTGCTTTGGCTCCATCTCCCTGTCCCATACCTTCCTCTTCCGAGGAGCAGGCTCGTCAAAGAGAAGAGGATCCGAGTCTGTCTCAAAGCCGTCATCAGCCCTCGGAGAGCTGAAAGCTTCTCCCGAGTACTTGGGGCTGGTCTCTGAGTGGGGGGGCGACGGGGTGGAGAGCCCACTCCAGTGGCCGCTGGTGGTGCTGCTCCCGCCATCGGACATCTCGCCACTCTCCTTCCAGCCGTCGAAGGCCACTTGGGATCCTGGAGGGGGGACATAAGAGGAACAGAAAGATGCCAACTCCATCAACTGGTCTGATTTCTGACTATCCGGGGCTCCACTGTGGTTATCATGGAGACGTCTTCCCTCAATATCATCCTTTTGAAGCGGTTATCATGGAGACGTCTTCCCTCAATATAATCCTTTTGAAGCCATTCGTTCATTGGTTCATTCAATTTATATACCACCTCATTAGTGCAACACGCTACAGGTGGTCTACAGTAGGCTAAAAACACAACAGAGGTAAGTCTAATAAAGACAACATGAACCTCACACAAACAGCACCGAGAGGCAGAAATTGCAGAATAAAACACAGCACGGGGCATAGAAACAAGCAGAGCAGCAGAGGAACACCTTAAAGAGAGTTGCAAAAAAAAGAGGTCTCTCTATAAAGCAATGTTTTCAAGCGTCTTTTAAGTGCCGGGAGGGAAAAAGCCAGACACCGATCCACCAGCGGTTGGTTCTAAAGAGTTGGAACCAAAGCAAAAAGGCCCTTCTTCTTGTGGATGATTTCCTGGCCTCCCTCGGAGGGGCAGCCCAGGGGATCGTGGCCTGATCCTCTTTTATAAAAGGGGCTGGACCTTAAATGTGTGCACTGTCCTCATATAGGGAGCGTCTCCGTCTCCTACGGACAGCCGGCCTGAAACGCAGACCACTCCTCCTCTTCCAACTGCTGCTCTCGCGTGCTGAAAGGGGGCCTGTGTGAATGTACTCCCTTGACGGCTCCTGGAAAGCGTTCCCTTTAAGGACGGCTTAAGAAGAGGGCCACGCGTCAAACCACCCCACGCGTCGGAAGGGTCTCTTAGCCCAATCTATTCCACCGACAGATTTGACACCAGAAAGAATCCAAGGGGACAAGACAGCCCAAGGAATAGAAGACGGAAGATGGAAAGTGTTTTCTGCAAGGAACTCGAACCCAGAACAACACAAGCAGGCAAGGAGATAACAAGGCTGTCGTGTTTGGAAGTCCAAAGCTGTAGTCTCAGTTTTGAAAGAGGTCAAGTGGAGACCCCGATGCCTTCTGTTAAGCATCGTTGAGGTGCACGGGAGGGGAAGAAGGCTTCACACACCCACACCCACATTAGCAACATGTGGAAAGGTTAAGCCATGCCGGCACTGGGCTCGAAGTTGTTGCTAGCCACGGTGGCTTCCTGCCATGGGGGTCCCAATCCAACCGCCCTCCTGTGGGCCCCACGCATGGCCCTTTGGCAGCCCCACACAGCCAGCGAAGCTTGCAGCTTCTCCCCCGCAGCCCCGTCAATGGTGGCGAGACCCTGGCATTTCTCACGCTGGACGAGCCCTCTGTTTTTAGACACAGGCCCAGACCGTCCCCCGGAGGGGCCTCTAAATAAAGACCCGCCGTTCCTCCGGGCAGCCCTGGGCCTGGCCGCCCACTGGAAGAAGCATTTGCCAGAAGAGAGGAGACGCCCTCTTTCTCTCTCTCTTTTTTTGGGAATGCAAACAGTGAGCCCTCTCTCTCTCTCTCTCTCTCTCCCCACGGCAGCCGGCTGCCTTTCGCGCAGCTGTCCACAATGGTGCAGGGGATGGGGTGGCACAAATTGGCATGGGGCCCTCAGTGTGTGTGTGTGTGTGTGTGTCTGTAAAGGAGCCGTCTGGCCCGCAGAGCAACCCTCAAGGGAGTCCACCCACCCGCAGGCGGGTTTTGTTTTTCAAGGAAAAGTCCTTTCGTGGTCCTGGGTGGCAGCTGAGAGCCGGACCACAGAAGACAAGGTGGCCCACCTGTGTGTGTGTCTGTAAAGGAGCCGTCTGGTCCGCAGAGCAACCCTCGAGGGAGTCCACCCACCCGCAGATGGGTTTTGTTTTTCAAGGAAAAGTCCCTTCGTGGTCCCGGGTGGCAGCTGAGAGCCGAACCACAGAAGACAAGGTTGGCCCACCTGACTCGCGTGGTGGGCCGAGAGGAAAACTCAGGGGTCACTTTGGCAGTTCTTATCGAGGGCAGGGGTGGGGAGGGGGAGGAAAAGACCCTTTTTGCAGCGGTCGTTAAGCAAAAACGGGGAGTCAGAACTCTTGACAGATCCACCGCCAATCACCCAGGAATCGAGCCGTAGAAACCAAGAGGAAGTGAGTAAAGGGAGGCTTCTGGGCTGCTCCTTCCGTCCTCTCCTTTCACAGCAAATAAGGCGAACCCCTGCCCTGGACGCCCTCAGAAGGGACCATTTACCTTTTCAACAGCATGCAGAGCACCCCTTTTTAACATCAAGTAAACGGCGATTTTTTTCCAAAACTGGAAGGGAATTTCTAACTAATTCTGGTTCTTTTATTTTATTTTTTACAAAGGAGGGGGGCTGTGTCCCAAGAGGTCCCTGTGGGGCAGAAAGCTGGTCCCTCGGCCTGCAGAATTTGCCCACTGTGATCAAGATCGACCTTCTCTGCCCCTCTGCCTAGAGACCTCCAGGACCAGAAATAATTTCAGGAATCAGGTGGGTTAAACAAACTGACCCAACACCGGATGCTTCCTCCGTTTAAACCCTTTCTCCAACCCCCACGTTATCAGGACTGGGTTTACAGTATTTTACTGTACGCAAGACATGCTTGTCTTTGAAAGGCAATGTGTTTTAAAAATCTGCCATGAATGTTATGCAACATTCATAGTGTTTCATAACATTAATAATTTCTATGAAAATCTGAATACCAACACAATGACTGCAACGTCCAACGTAAAATAGCCAGTAGGACATGATCCAGAAAGATATAAGCTTCACATCCCTGGTCAGCCAATAAAAGCTGCTGAGCGCCTCTTACTACAGATTTTCTTACAGTCTAAGCTTCCTTACAAGGTTGGCGCACGGACAAAATGGGACAGGGGAAGGACCTCAGGTAAGCTACCTTTGAGGAAAGGTGGATGAATAAGCAAGAACTATACCTGTAGCATTTATTAGCATGGGAGATTTTCCCTGGGGATATTTTCTCCTACTGTAATGATCAAGAGCTTTGTGGTGGATTGGGCTCTGCAGGTCATACAGTACCTGGATACATTTCCCAGTCTGCCAATCTTAATAACCATCCAAAACAGGCCATCACTTTATGCCCCACAGTAGAATCCCTGTCTGGAAGTATTGCTTTTCTTACTCCAGGAACAGCCAGCCTGTGTTTCAGCAAAGCTTGGAAATAACAGGTTAAGATCTAAGCCGCAAACGTTGAAATTGTTACTTGCACACTAAATGGGAGGAATGCATCCCATCTTAGGAAAATAACAGAAGTAATTATTTTAAAAATGTAAAACGTTATTTGGAAAATGCGATCCTTTAGCTTCGCCGCTCACATCGTCCTTTTTTAATGCGATGGATTTTAATGTTGATGTTTTAAATGAGCAAATCATTTCCAAGCTCTGTTTTTTTTTGTTTTTTTTGTTTTTTTGCACAGTCCTGGTCTTGCCTTTAAAAATGGCAGCTCTGCAGCCCAGAGATTCAAGGGGTTGCTGCCGGTTCTTGGGGCAGAACGCAGAGTTACCTGAGATGCCCGCGTCGCTGTTTGGAGGGCTTTGCACCACAGGACTACAGGATAAGCTGGTCAAGACCATGGCCGCCATCATCTCGTCCATTTCCACAGCAGCATCTGCTTTCCTACAGAGAGAGAGAGAGAGAGACGAAGCGGGAGAGAAATAAAGACTTCTCCCTCCAAACCGAGCAAGCCAAAAAAAACACAAAAACAGAACCACAGAAGTGCAGAGCTGGAAGGGCGGACAGGAGAGTCAATACAACCCCGTCCTCCTGAACTCAGGATTGCAAGAACGATATCTATCGTGATCTGTACGGTTCAGGCTTGCTTTCCTGATCCTTGCAGGAAAGATCCCAAGGGCGCACCATCCAATGATGGGAAGTGTTTACTCCACGAGGCAGGGCGTCATGGTTAAAAATCCAACCAACGAAACTGTCTGATTCAACCCTCTCTTTTTAACAAGCGCCGAACGACCGTTTGCCTTCAAATCAAGGCCAGGTCGGGGAAAGTCCAGGCGTCCTCCTCGGATTTTGCCTGGAAGCACGCGGCAGCCTGTATCCGTACGCCAAGAGCATGGCCATCCTCTTACTTCTCTAGGAGGAAGAGCTATCAAAGGCACTTTAAACATAATGCATTATTTAAGCAACGTAGTCCAAACAATCCCCAAGAGCAGATCTCTGGAACACGGAGTACCTGGCAGGCTGTAGGAAAAAGCTTCCCCGTGTGGAGTTTAAAGATAAAATCCAGGCATTAAGAACGGTCTTTAGGGTTTCCAGCTTTGCCTACGGCCGTCGCCCCCACCTGCCATCCAGTCACTTCTGAGTTTTGGCCGACCCAGTGGGTGGAATGCTGTCGCTGATTCCCTGGTTCAGATCCTGCAGAACTGGTTGCCTTGATGGAGGTTTCATCTACCCACGGGACCCCTTTGATCTACCTTCACCCACATGTCCACCCTAACTTGGGAGGGACCAGACATGTTAGACAAATTAGGGTTTCCAGCTTTGCCTACGGCCGTCACCCCCTCCTGCCATCAAGTCACTTCCGAGTTTTGGCCGACCCAGTGGGTGGAACGCCGTCGCTGATTCCCCGGCTCAGATCTTGCAGAACTGGTTGCCTTGACGGAGGTTTCGTCTACCCACGGGACCCCTTTTGTCTACCCTCACCCACCTGTCCACTCTAACTTGGGAATGGCCAGACATGTTAGTCAAACAGCAGGATGAAAACCCCAGGCTCGGCAACTGGGCTGGTATCTTCCCCTGGGTGTGTGAGTGTGTGTGTGGGGGGGGGGAAGCAGAAATCAGAAGGGGGTGGGAAACATTTCCAGTTTTACAAAAGCGGTGGCTTAAGAGTAGAACCATGCTTCCCAGCCACTTTGAAGACCACAATTCTGTTTGTTAAACACAGCGTCACCTTTTCCCCCCCAAGCACCTTCTTGCACTGAGTTGGGCCTTGCCATCCGGCACCCCGAGACGGTCTCCTCCTGCAGTTGGAGAAATGCTACGCGGCTGCAGGTTTGCCTGCCTTGGCTCTTCCTAGATTTACAGCATCTTCCTAAGCTTCAAAACAGGAATCTTTCGCAGCCTGACCAGGAGATGGCCATGGACCAAATCTGGGACTTTTTGCTGGCAAGGCACCTGCTCTAGAGGGTCCCAGCCTCTTCCCAAAGAACACACCATACCGAACCAGGTGGATCATCCCTCGGCATCCATGGAGGCTTCTTAGCATAGCTGGGCATATATTCTGTGCTAAAACAGATATAAACTCTGCATGAAGAAACCCCACATCTACCAACGTTCTTTTCCTGGGGGACCTTGAAATCAGAATTAAAAATCAGAATTTTTGGATTCGATTTTATGTCTTTGCTGTTTGTTCATTCATTCACACATGAATGCATGTACTACCTATCTAGCAAATTGCTATGATATTGATAGACTGCCCTTCTCCTGATAAGCAGACTTAAGTCCTGGCTGCCCTTATGTTATGTTTTGTTTTCATGGAATTTCAGGATTTACACTGCAATTCCTGATCACCTTTTGCTTACCTAGAGCATTTTCACCTGACTCTTCAGCTGAGAAAAGATTATGCCTCTTTAATATCTGAAACACACACAAACACCCACCTTTTTGGTACATCAATATTCCTAGAAACCGATCTTGGAGCAGAGGCCATGACAGTGTCCGACGTGGTAGGATGATCTTCCATTGCCATGGAGATGGTGCTGCTGCAGCTCCTGGCTACAGCCGTTCTTTCGTGGTCCATCTCCAGGGTTGGGGCCGTCAACGCCTGGCAGTCTGCCAGCCTCACTTCCTCGGCTTTCCTGGAAACCAAAAACCCCTTCTCCGGCATCAACACCTTCACTTCGTTGCTGGCCGGGTCATGCTGCTCCACCAGGCCAGCCTCCTCTTGCCCGTTGCAAAAGACCAGCACCTAAGAGGAGGAGAAAAAACAACAACACATGATCAGCAGGAACTTTTAGGAAGCTACTAAAGGTCTGCATCGTAAAAGGCAGGAATACACACCAATATCTGCCAGGTGATGATCTAAGTTTCTCTTGAATGCCTGACGTCCCCTCCAGCCAATTCTTGAATTCTTTTTCTAATTTTCCTTATATTATTTTTCCTTATTTTATTGTGATTGTGATTCGATGATTATGCACATTTTATTATGCACGTTTTTGTATTTTTATTGTATTTTATTGCTTTATTTTGCATTGGAAGCCGCGTAGAGTGGTCTGGTAGTCCAGATAGGCGCGGTATAAATCAAATAAATAAATAAATCTAAGGACTGGTTTTACCAGTTCCACTCCTGACAGTGTCATCGAAGCAACCAACATGAATTTGACACAACTCCGGGAGGCGGTGGAAGATAGGAGGGCCTGGCGTGCTCTGGTCCATGGGGTCACGAAGAGTCGGACACGACTAAACGACTGAACAACAACGTCTCCAAGAAGATGCTCTTGCACCGTCCAGTCGAACAGGAGCTCCCATTCCACTGGACAGATCCACTGCATGCTAATTTTGTGAGAGAACCATTTTTTTGGAACTTGTAGAGATTTATGTACTTTTAAATGGTGTTCCTGGGACCCAACCCATCGTCCACACATCTGGATCCAGCATCCCTGTGTTTCCAGCACAAAGACACCCATCTCCGAGTGAAGAAAGGTAAGCACTGAGTCTCCGCCCTTTAGTACTGGATGTACATTTTACGAACAGCGATTTCAGCCAGGTTGCTGGTTTGCTAGTTTGTGCCGTCCGGTCAGAACCAATTTATAGCAACCCTAATAGGGTTTTCAAGGTAAGTGAGATATCTAAGGACTGGTTTTACCAGTTCCACTCCTGCCATGAATTTCCATGGCTGAGTGGGGATTCGAACCCTGTTCTCCAGAGTCCTAGTCTGTCACTCTATCCACTACACCACCCTGGGAACTCTCTGGGACATCTAGTCCATTTATCTTGATAATATTAAGATGTGATTCTAAGCTATGTGTAACCCTGGTTGTTTTCCTCCTTTTTCCTCTCTGTTTTTTTTCCCCTGTCTCTCTCCTCTGCTTCTTTATTGAAGGGGAGTATTTGCATTTGCTCTTTAAATATTTAAAATAAAAGTGCAACTATTTGTGTTTTTGGATGACCACTTCCAGAGACCACACTACCTTGGGAATTCTGAGACGTGTCGCTCGAAAACACAAATATGCCCAGTTCTAATTTAAACCACCTATTAAAATGGAAGTTTCAGGCTGGGCGACAGGAACAGACATGGTAAAAAAACTGAAGACAGTTATCCCCATTCACGTCTCGCGATTCTAAAACGCATCTAACTATCCAACATTCAAGACAGGGAGTTCAGCTCAGAAGGTGCCCCCATGCCAACTCAGACACTCAGTCCCATTCAGACCCCAATATGGGCTCCATAGAATCACAGACACTGCCATGCCATGAATTTCCATGGCTGAGTGGGGATTCGAACCCTGTTCTCCAGAGTCCTAGTCTGTCACTCTATCCACTACACCACCCTGGGAACTCTCTGGGACATCTAGTCCATTTATCTTGATAATATTAAGCTGTGATTCTAAGCTATGTGTAACCCTGGTCGTTTTCCTCCTTTTTCCTCTCTGTTTTTCCCCCCCTGTCTCTCTCCTCCGCTTCTTTATTGAAGGGGAGTATTTGCATTTGCTCTTTAAATATTTAAAATAAAAGTGCAACTATTTTTGTTTTTGGATGACCACTTCCAGAGACCACACTACCTTGGGAATTCTGAGACGTGTCGCTCGAAAACACAAATATGCCCAGTTCTAATTTAAACCACCTATTAAAATGGAAGTTTCAGGCTGGGCGACAGGAACAGACATGGTAAAAAAACTGAAGACAGTTATCCCCATTCACGTCTCGCGATTCTAAAAGGCATCTAACTATCCAACATTCAAGACAGGGAGTTCAGCTCAGAAGGTGCCCCCATGCCAACTCAGACACTCAGTCCCATCCAGACCCCAATATGGGCTCCATAGAATCACAGACTAGTGAAGTTGGAAGGGGCCTACAAGGCCATCCAGTCCAACCCCTTGCTCAGGGCAGGAATAAAACCAGTTATCTGCCAGGTAATGGTCCAAGTTCTTCTTCAACGCCTCCAGTGTTGGAGCACTCGCCAACTCCCGAGGTCACTGGTTCCACTGTCGTGCTGCTCTAACTGTTAGGAAGTTTTTCCTGATATTCAACCGAAACCTGCCTTCCTCTAACTTGAGCCCATTGTTGCCTGTCCTGCACTCTGAGATGATGGAGAACACATCCTGCCCTACCTCTGAATGACAGCCTTTCAAATATTTGAAAAGTGCCATCATATCACCCCCTCCGTCTTCTTTTCTCAAGCCTAAACATGCCCAATTCTTTCAGTCTTTCCTTACAAGGCTTGGTTTCCAGCCCCCTGATCATCCTTGTCGCCCTCCTCTGAACTTGTTCCAATTACTCAGCATCCTTCTTGAAGTGTGGTGTCCAGAACTGGACACAGGATTCCAGATGAAGCCCAGCCAGTGCCAAATAGAAGGGACCAAAGAGAGGGGATCCCCCCCCCAAAGCACCTTTTAGGATCAGAATTTATCAAAGGGTTTCTCAAGCGGACAAAACCCACTTCCAAAAGGCTCAATGGCAGGCAGGCTGGCAAAGGACTGGCTTTCTGGCCAGGCACCCACGGGAATTTCTAATCCCTTTTCCTACCCAGCACATGATAGGGGTGCATTATTTTTATGTTCTCAATTCAGATTTCCCCCCAATCCCTCTCCCACTGCCAGTGTGAACGGCACCTTCTCTCACGCCCAGTCAGCTCCTAAGATGCCAGCAGACACACCTAAGGGGCAACGGGATGCAAGGCCCCAATGAAGCTGATACGATCCTTGGAGTAGCCCAAATCCTCTCACTGTCACAGTTTAAACAACCTAACTTGGAGCAGCAAAATGGCTGCAAATTACACAAGTCTGCGTAGGCACATCTCGCTGTGAACTGAGTTGCACGCCGTATACAACAGCAGGCAACATCTACTCTGACTCTTCAATCTGTAGTAAAAGTCGTTCCAAAGATTGTAACGTTTACGTTGTCTGGAAACAAGATTTGGGCCAACGTCCGCTGACTTGCACACACACACACACACACACACACACACACACGTACAGCCTAGCAGCATATAAGGAGGCAGGCAGGCATTAAAAACTGCCTGGGTCTTCCCTCGCCACTTTGACCTAATTGGAGGCAGAGACACCGTCTCGCTCAGAAAATCTATTTTTATACGTGTAATTCTATCTACGCTAAGATGTGCCCACTTGAGTTAGTTATTCCTGGAGACTATTTATAGGGGAACTCTCATTACCACAGGGAAAAGGAAGGGGAGGAGAGAAGAGAGATGCCCCAGTCAAAGGGGTGTGCAGAAAAATAAGAGGCATGGCACTCCTCTACCCAGACCCTGATGTTGGGAAAGTGTGACGGCAAGAGGAGAAGGGGACGACAGAGGACGAGGTGGCTGGACAGTGTCTGCGAAGCAACCAACATGAATCTGACCCAACTCTGGGAGACAGTGGAAGACAGGAGGGCCTGGCGTGCTCTGGTCCATGGGGTCACAAAGAGTCAGACACGACTAAACAACTCTTGGGGTGAAGGTGGTGGGGGTAAGAGGGCAGAATAGATCTAGTAAAGACCAGAATCACCTGCACAGATCAGCCTTTGGAGCACTTTCTGGGCAAACTTTATCCATATTTAGCCTTCGAGAATACAAACTTCATCCATGTCTGTTAAAGCCGCCTTTGCCGGTCTGTATGGGTGAACACACAGCCGGAGAGAAAAGAGGGGCAGAGGGTTTGTGAAAACCCATAGCCTGGGCACTCTATGCCAGGAACCGGCCATGCCCAGCCTTTGAAGAAGCCACTGGTTTGCACAGCGAGGCCCAAAATCCTCTAAGAAGGAGCTTCTCTTTGAGTGCAAAAGGACTTCCTGTTCAAAGTCTCCGTTCCACCCCAAGCTTGGGGAAAGTTACGGTTTCGGACAGCTAAGCCCAGAATCCCCCTCGAAGTGCAGCCAAGACGGGAGGGCCAAAAACCTCCGGAGAGAGGAAAGGAGGCCGTTTCCACGTCGCCAGCCTTGGACGGATATTTTATGATTGTGCAGCTCCCAAATATTTATAGTTACTGCTTATTCTGAGTTTAGGGCTTTGAATAGATCTTCTTTTTTGTTTTTCACACCGCTGACTCCCAACTCAGAAGAGCTTTGCCAAGTTGGGAAAAGCTGAGCTGAAGTCTCTGGGGCTGGAATGATCTTGTCGGGACCCCATGCATGACGAAGACGCCTGAATCCTCCATGCGTTCTGCCCCGATCCGAGGCCACCCAATTTCTGTCCCCCTCCCTGAGAGTCACACCCCAACACCGCCTTGGTTCACACCCTCATAATTCCTTTGCCAGGCATTTCTTGCAACCAAGGAAATGTGATACAAACTCAACGCACACCCTTGTTTTCCTCTCTTCTGGGGCTCAGTGTGTTTACATTTGCCAAACATGGCGTCCCCACTGAGGAAAACGAGGCCAGAAAAATGGCTCTAATGCTAATAAAAAGATCTGGTCACTTTCCTGCCATTCGGATTTCATTACGTGTTTCCAAAGCGACATACAGTGGTGCCCCGCATAACGAGCGATTCGTTTAACGACGAATCCACATAGCGATGTGTTTTTTGCGATCGCAAAAGCGATTGCATTGTGATGTTTCTAATGGTAAAACATTGCTTTGCGATGACCGGTAAGCGTTACCGATTTTCGCATAGTGATTGTTTTTTTAACAGCTGATCGGTGGTTCCAAAATGGCTGCCGGGTAAAGAAAATGGCCGCCCACTGTGTTTTCACGCCCTTTCCTCGCTTACCGGGCAGCGAAAATGGCAGCCGCATGGAGGATTTTCGCAGAACTGTGAGTTTTTTGCCCATAGGAACGCATTAAACGTGTTTTAATGCATTCCTATAGGCTTTTTTGCCCCGCATAGCGACGAATCCACATAGCGACAATTTTTTCGGAACAGATTATCGTCGCTCTGCGGGGCACCACTGTATTTCTAACACACATCAGAATTCGGACAGGCTGCACGAAACGTTCCTTTGTAGAATAGAAAAAGTGCTGGTTCTAACCTTGGGTTCTTCTTAAGGAAAGGCGGGGTAAAAATATTTTTAAAAATAGAATTTTTTAAAAAAACCTATAAACCCCTAAACAGCTCAGGTTCAAGCGATCTCAAGAACCACATCTCCCTTTACGTGCCAGTCTACATAATGCAATCATCAGGAGACATTTTTCTCTCGGTTCCACCACCTTCACAGAGGTGCTTAGTGGGGACACAGGAGAGGGCTGCTACTGGGCTTTGGAACTCCCTGCCACTGGAGGCCAGACTCTGCTGTCCTTCTGCAAGCAGGCAAAGACTTTTCTCTTCAGGCGAGCTTTCTCTCAGCAATTGGCTTCCTGAGTGGGGTTTTTAAATGTATGGTTGTGCATTAATGTTTTGAATATATTTTTGGTGTTGCTTTTCTCTACCTTCTTTTAGTATGGTGTTCACTTGATTCTTTTTAATATTGGAATACTTACTGCTTTTTAAATTTTGATTTAATGATATAAATCACGTTGGGTCCTTTTTAAGGAGAAAGAAGGGTAAAAAAATATTTTGAATAAATAAATATTTTTTTTAAAAACCCACAAATTTATCTATTCTTTCTAAGCTACCAAAGAAGTGTTAAACCAAATGATTATTAAAGTATTTATCTTAAAACTAGTCGATTGAAACATCAGCTTGTGGTCTGAATAGTTTCCAAAACATTTCCCTGGTCACGGATTTCAAATGTTTAGTGTTAACGCTAACTGGAATTATTAGTTATTTAAAAGATATTGACCAGCTAGCGATGCCCTTGGGGTGGTTTACAATTATAAAAGAAGAACCACCAACAAAACCACAAGTTTTACCATGATAAAGTCAGTTAGAGCAAAGGCGCTCAGCCTGCTGAAGAAAACTCCATCAAAATGATCAGCCCCAGGTTGGGGAACGAACCACTGAATCCATGGGTCTGTGGCCAATCATCGCTTACGTAAATTGCACTGATTCCACAGGTGTACTCTAATTCAGACTAACTTAGCCTTAGAATCTTAAGGTATCAAAAGGATGTTTAAGAAGAGCATGAAAAATATAACTGGCCATAAAAGGTTATGAGCATGGTTCCTAGTGTAAAAAAAAACAAACCATATTTTTTTAACCTTGCACATCCCAGCTCCGTATCCCTCAAGAAAGCCAACGTCTCCGATACCTTTTGGCCCGGGTGCAGCATCGGCCCGTTTTGGTTTCGATCTCCCAGGCTGTCTGCGTGGTCCTTGAAGGGGCGGTCCTCGCAGGAAGCAAGGAGCGAGGACCCTTTGCTGATTTCCGGATGCAAGGGGTGGGCCTGGGTCGTCAGGAGCACCCCGTCCCCCAGCAACGTGGGGGCAGAAATGCGCGCGCCCAGCAAGGAGCGCTTCCCCAGCCTCCTCGACAGCACCGCCGCCATCTCCGACAGGCTGCAAACAGGGAAAAAAAGAAGAAGAAAAGGCTATGAACTCTTGGCAGAGAATCAATCAGTCGCATGATGCCGAACCAAGAATGTTTGACCGCCAATACAACGATCCCATGATTTAGGGCCAAGTGGTGGCAGGCCAAGGGCTCATAAGTTCAAAGCCACAGGCTCTTCGGAAGGACAGGGACTGTTAACACCATCATCATAGAACAGCAAAGCTGGAAGGGACCCCTAAGGATCATCAAGTCCAGCCCCTGTCAAGAAGGAACAGTAGGGGAATCGAACTCCCAACCTCTGGCTCTCCACCCAGGCTCCTTAACCACTGAGCTATCCGGCAGTTCTCAGATCAGATTTCCCTGATCTTTCTGGCCTAGTGGTAGTCTTCATGCATAGCTGGCACAAAAATGCATTTCCCAAGGAACACTATTGCCAACTTATTCCCAGGAGGACTAGGCATTTGAGGGTGGTCTAGAATGGGCAATTAAGAGCCATTAGCTTGGCAAAAGACCTGCCCTTCATTGCTTGATAAGGGCCCGGTGAAGCTGCCTGCCGTTTCTGCCTGCTGGAGGAAAAGCTGTGGGGATTAGCATGATGAGCGCCTTCACTGCCAAATTCACCACTATCCTCTCGTGGACAAGCGCCACTGGTAGGAGCCTTGGTGAGACCCACGGGAAGAAGTCATTCTCTTCCGACGGCCAAGTCTTTTTAAAAGCAAGAATGCGTGCCATCTCTTTTTGGCGCAATCATAGCAACTTCGGACCTTTGGTCTTTCTCCTACCTACCTGCCATCTTAATATAAAAGGTCAGAACAGAATACCTGGAAGGGATCATTCCATTTATACCATAGAAGGATGCGGAATCTTTAATAGACCAGTGGGTGGGACGAAAGATGCAAACCATGAGCCCAAAGCGAAGCAAAGAGAACTCTTTGCGCACCTTGCAATGAAATTAGACAGCCCACACGGTGCCCCTCCAGCAGCCGGAGTAGCTCAACCGACCAACTTTGGAAAGACGGAAGGTTGATTCCATCCTGAGCCGGCTACCTGGGATCAAACTCTGGTTGTGAGCAGAGTCTTAACCGCAGTACTGCAGTTTAACCCCTGCCCCGCGAGACTTTCGCACCCAGAAGCCTTAAGGCTCTACACCTTCCCGCCTCCAGATTGTTCTAGATTTCAGTTCCCAGAAGCCCCAGCCAGCATGGCCAAAGGGACGTTATTCCGAGTGTTACAAAGTCCAAAACTTGGATGACTCCGACAGACTGCAGCCCATCAGTCAGATTGGGTCCGTCTGCCTTCCTTTCCACCGAAACAACAGCAAAGCGGGAAGGGACCCCTAAGGATCATCAAGTCCAGCCCCTGTGAAGAAGGAGCAGTGGGGGAACCGTGTTCCCTCAGAGCCCTCTGACGGCCAGCAGCTTTATGACTTCTTTGGAAGGGCCCAAAGACCCCCCCGAGAAAGAGCCAGAAGCACACCGACAACTGCAGTGTTGAATTTCTAAAAACCAGTTTTGGAGGACGAAACCCGCCCTGAAAGAGGGGACCAGGAAGCTTTTGCCTTCAACCCCAGACCTCGATGGGTTCAAGGTCCCAACAGAGAACTGGCTTTTCTGCAGTTGGACCAAGTCTGGACAGGGAGAGAAGGGAGACCGGAAAGGTGGCCCAGAGATCGGGAAAATCTGGCCTTGAGAGACCCCTTTATTTTGCATTCACCAAGGAATCTGCTTGGAGAAAAATACAAGGCAGGACAGTCTACGGTGGTAGACAAGTAAAAACCGATGCCCACGCAGCTTCCCCAGGGGACAGCCTTGGCAGGAAACGAAGGCCCCCGAAACGGAGAGATGGCTTTTTCAGAACCGGATAAGCCGCTGCTGTGTAAACAGAAGGTCCAACTTCCAAATCAGAGACAATTTCAGCCTCTTGTTGAAGTTTTCAAAGACCGCAGAAGCCTACGAGACACAGACAGTCTTGGGTGTCTTCCCTGAGGCTCACAATGGTCAGATGTTTTGAGATTTTGAGACCACACATCCCATCACCCCCAGGCAGCATTCGGTCAACGGCCGAATCAGGACATCCCTCGGGAATTTGCAAGGAAGCGTGTGCCTCTAGGAGAAAACCGGGCTTGTTTTAAAAATCAAGCACTAAGAACAGACCAAGCGAAAGGGAAGGAAGGATAATACGACCGACTTCCAACCACCAGTTGACGTCAATCCCCTCTTCTCCTAGAAAGTTAACTGGGGTTTTCAGGAGCAGGCTACACAGCTCTTAAGAGAACCTTGTCAAGCTGCAATTAAAACAATTACTACTGCAAACACCCCCGCCCCTTCTTTTGAATGCCCCTGTGTAAAACTTTCTAAACTATGCCCCAAGGAGCTTACAATCTACGTTGAAATGCCAAGGACACAACAGAACGGAAGAGGCGAGGCACCCATTTTTACCTGTTGGCACCGTACCATAGCTGGTTGTGTGTGTGTGTGTGTGTGTGTGTGTCTGTGTGTGTGTCTAGAGACACATGACTTTTCCATCCAGCATTTCACTGCGGGGGGGGGAGCACGGATGCCCTCCTTACAGGGGCCGTTGTCTCGATCCAGAAATCACCCCTTGTTCACCTTACCAACTTCCATTGGTTTTCATGATGCTTGCCGCCACCACATCTTCTGCTTTGTGGACAAAAAAAGCAGCATATAAAACAATCAAGCAGGGGACAGGATAGGGTGGCTCTCCCTTATCCTGGCCCCAAAATGTGTTGGGACTACAAAGCACAGCATTCTCAGCCGACACAGCACTGCCAGGGTTAAATGGGGAAGATAGGAATTGTAGTCAAACATATCTCAGGGGAGTAGAACGGAAAAATGCTGGATTCATAGGGATACAGGTAGAATGATACTACTCTGTAGGAAATCCAGGTTCGACTTTGCACATCGCTGTCATAGAATGATACTACTCTGTAGGAAATCCATGTTCGACTTTGCACATCGCTGTCAACGTTCTCTCTCTCTCACACACACACACACTTTCTCTCCCCTGTCCACACCTATTTATCTCATAAAGTTTCTGTAAGAATAAAGAGGAGTGATCAGGACCCTCCTTGACTTCTCTGAACAAAGATCTGGTACAAATGCTATGAAATTAATATCAATTCCCACTCACCATAATTTATTTTATATTTTTAAATTGTACTGAGAGAGCTGTGGTCTCTAAGAACGCCAGGCCTGGAGGCCGAGGACATGAATTACAGAAATCAGAGTTGGCTAGGTTAGGGTTCCATTCAACGTCTTGCATTTCCTGCACCCACCCAGTATGGCCCCCCACAAACCTTCCCTCACAGAATGAGGCCGACCCACCAACCAACCGGTTGTGTCACATCAGCGACTCAGGATCATGGCTTGCTTTAAAAAAAAAACTGTATGGGTCATTACGTAGGCAGGGACTGACTCCAGAGCAAAATAGCAATACAGTGGTGCCTCGCATAGCGATCGCTCCGTTTAACGATGAAATCGCTTTGCGACAAAGATTTTGCGATCGCTTTGCGATGTTCCCTATGGTGTATTTTCGCTTTGCGATGACCGATCATCGCAAAGCAACCATTTTCGCACCGCTTATCAGCGGTTTCAAAACGGCCGCCGGGGAAAAAGCATGGCCGCCCGCTGTTTTCTGGGACGGATTCCTCACTTAAGAGGCACCAGAAATGGCCGCGCTATGGAGGATCTTCGCTGAATGGCGAGGTTTAAGCCCATAAGAACGCATTAATCGCGTTTTAATGCGTTTCTATGGGCTTTTTAATTTTGCATTGCGACGTTTTTGTTCAACAGCAATTTCGCTGGAACGAATTAATGTCGCAATGCAAGGCACCACTGTACTGCAGATAACTTTTCGCCTATTAAAAAAAACACACACACAAACAAGTAAATGGCAAATAGCCAAAAGCTGGAGACACAGCTTCGAACCCTTCCAGTGACCATGTTGTAGCACACATGCTACCTTGCAGAATGAGCTATGTACAGACTTTGCAACAAAACATGACCCTGAGGAACCAAAGCGTCCCCATCCAGGTACATGTGGGTTATCTACATGACAGACCTGGGGGGGGGTGACTTAAGCCACCTCCTAAGTTTGAACAGAGACGTACCAGCTCCACTATGTCGGCTAGTAACAGCAAACTGCAGCTGGGAACACACAACCTGCGCGCGTGTACTGTCTCCTTCTCTCCCCATTCACACACACACACAACAGGAGAAACGTTCCTCATCTATTTTGCAACCCAATGGCCCTTGGCCCACCTGCTTTGAAAACCAAGATTAGCACAAACCATAGTTTACTACCTTTGGACCCAACAGCAAACTGTGGTTTGTGCAATCATAACACTTCTTATCTCCCCGCTCCACTGACACGGAGAAGGGAGGGGAACAGACACCCAATTCTTCTTCTCTCTCAGATGATCTTGGACTACAACTCCCAGAAACCCTGACCAGCACAGCTTGTGGAGAAGGGTTCTGAGAAATTCAGTCCAAAAAACACCTGGGAGTCAAGGTTGGCAAGCACTGAGCTTCAGCATCCCACGGGCAGCTGCGGGATATATGGGTACTGTGATCCAAAAAGAGAAGATTTACAGGATCACCATCTCCACCAACCTCTGAAAAACCCCTTTGTTGCTGGATAGAGAATAAGCTGTTCTTGCAGGGTCAGGAAGGAAGCCGGTGGGGGGGGGGGGGGGGCGGGAGAGAAGCAAAGCGTGCTGCTTACATGCTGTCTCATAGTGCTTAAAGCACTCTCTGGGCATTTTACAATTTAATTATGCAGCGACGCATTGCCACCCACCCGGTGAGTCGAGTGCTCATTTACTGACCTCAGAGGGATGGAGGTCGGGGTGAACCTCAAACCGGCTACTTGGGATTGAACCTGATTCCGGAGCAGAGTTTTGGCTGCAGTCCTGCAGTCTAACCTCCGCACCAGGAGGCGACAGAACTAGAATGATGTAGGAGAACTCACTTCAATAAC